TCCAACTTTTTTTTCAACTGCAGTAAAAGAGCATGGAGGGAACAATCGTTGAAATGGCAGTTATGAGGAGCTGCAGAGATTAGTGTCCTCTTTAAATCTGGACTCGAGACACTATGAAAACCAGAATTAATAAAAGGAAGCAATATAAAACAATCATAACAAATCAGTGGAACAAGCTGCTGTGGTCACATGAGACCGAAACTGAGGCTACATACAAAACGAGAACACATCAGCGCCTTTAGATGATGAAACACGATCGCGATAGTGTCATGCTGTGCTGTCACCATTTTTTTCATATACTAAACTTATTTTAAATATTCATTATTATTATCTTTAATTATGTGTGTTAACTTTCTGCCTTAGCAATGTACTTTTCTTTTCCTTTATTTTCCCACTAATGGCTCTTTGCATTGTCTTCCTACAGAAATACGCTGAACAGATAAAGTTACTTTACTTCCAAACACATGGTCTTATAATAAAACACTTAAGCTCACCATCAAGAGTAACAAAAAACAAGGAGTAAAACACAAGAATTCGACTGGGTGCCTTAGTTTAATGGGAAAGCCTTTTGTATGCTAACAGACTGAGGGTTACCTAAGTGCAATTAAGGGATCTGTTATCACATTGCATCAACATAGTTTTGTTCGACATGCTTGTTTAAGAATAAGTGAATACTAACCAGAGGCCATGGGGTGGCGGGTTCCTTCAGGTTATTTAGAGACCCGGCCTCGTTTCTCTTCTCATGCTCTGCAGGCTGAGATGAACAGCAGTCTGATCCACGTCTCAGCTGTAAAGGAACAGAAAAGACCGTACAACATTCCACATAAGAAAGCAGTTCGACCAAATCTACCAGAACAGATGCAAATCTGAAGAAAAAAGGAAAATGAAACTGAAAGGGTAAAAGCTGTTTGTTTTTTTTATTAAGTAAAATATATAAATAAAACCAGCATGTTTATGTTTCAAACCATTAGAGCACAAAAATGATTTGAATGTTTTTCTCTATGAGCTCATCATTCTGTGCTTCCTCCTCCAGCTCAAATTGCCCGGAGAGAAGATGACTTCACTTTTGGGCTCACAAATGCAGTGAAACTACAAAAAGGAGAAGGAAGCCTTAAAGGGGAATTTTCCGCCCTTGAAACACGTCACACCACAGTTCAAACTGTCCCAGATTACACAGCTTTAATATTCAGCCTTTTATTTGTGTGATTGCATCATTACTCAGTCTGAGTGGGTGAGCCCACATTCCCTAACCGAGACATGGATCAGTGTGGTAGAGCTGGGTATGAATTCAGATTTCCTAAATCAATCGGCTCTATGCACAACTCCATTACTTCCTGAACTGAGGCAGCTCTTTTGTTTCCTGTTTTTCATTACCGGATGAACCGATTGATCCAGGTGTGTCTGAATATGGTTACTGAGGTCAGGCATACCTGGATTAATTAGTTCATCCAGTAGAAAAACAGAGGAAACAAAGAAGCTTCCTTAAGTTCAGGAATCAGTGGAGTTGTGCATAGAGCCCATTGGATTTAAGCCTGATTTAATTCCATTTACGATTCAATTTAAATGCTTTGCGATTCAGTTAAGGATACCCCCTGTTACCAACTTTGATATGGATGACATTCTCAAAAGATCTAATACCGCCAACGGTGGAAACTACTACTAACTTGGTGTATTAGTAAAATATTAATATTTACATTAAGAATGAAACCAACTGCAGCTTATTTAATAACGTGATTTCAATTCAACATAACCTGACAAAAACAAAGCTATCAAACCCTGGTATGGACTGTCGGAGAACGGGAGCACGCAGCATAAATCTGGGTCAATTTGAACAGAAGCGTACTGATGACATCACCACACGCTCAGCTCGTCTAGAGCTGCATTTCACCTCCTGTTATTAATAGACTATGGATAAAAATAAATTCTTACTTTTTTCATTTAGTGGGGGGGATAATAATGAACAAATAAAGCAAAAACCTGCCATCAAAGCCAGCGGTCCTTCACACATGGCTATGCAGAGAGAGGGCCGCTTCAGACGGGCTAACATTAGCCCTGGCTGCCGCGGTCCTCTCAACTTCTGAATTCTTTTTTTAAATTACGCATTAAATCGGTAAATGCGCCATATAGTGATGTTTAAAAGTCTTAATTTATCTTAAAAACTTCTTTTATAGAACAACAGAAAAGATAACTTTTAATTTAATACTCTGAGCTCTGTGAGCGCCCTTTTGGAAGCTGCTGCTTCCGCAGTGCATGCTGGGACAGCTGTCAATCTCAAGAAGGGGTACAAAAACAAGGTCCGGGGACTTTTTCCGTTCTCTGCCTTTTTGTTTTTGTGAAATGGAGCAGCACTAGGGAGTACATGAGAACGCACAAGTACACACATTGAGAAATGGCCATGGAAAGCTTCTTGACTGACCTTTGACCTCTTGATCTCCAGCACAGCCTCCAGGAACTCTATCTCATCGAATCGCCTCACCATCGGCTCCAGCTCAATTAAACACTCTAAAAAAAAAAACAATGAAACCAGAAACGTCAGATACTTTTTAGTGCTCTTATAACACACTTAAAGGAATAGTACACCCAAAACATGATTAGCCTTCATTTTCTACTCACCCC